ACCAGTTGTACGCCAATCGTTGCTGTTCTTTCTAGGGACTATGTGCAAGGGAGATGATCATGGACTGTTTGACGGTCGAATGATTCCTAACTCTACCACGTGATCAAATTCGTTTTTGGCTAATCTCAGCTTTTCAGGGGCTAGTCGTCGCGCTTTCGAAAATATGGGTGGTCCGGTAGTCGTGATGTGACACGGCAATTTCGGCTGCGGTTGATATATCCGAGAATGCCTATCGAGTAATTGTTGATAGAATGGAACTATCATGTGTCTGTTTGTGACAGGAGATAATCTACAAACGGAAAAAGAAATTATGCAAATAGATGGATTGATGTTTCCGTCTATTAGCCTGTATTTGAGCGTGTCGATGAGTAGATGTGGTGCTGTAGGATGTCTATACTAATGATTGGCACAGAAACATCTGCAACAGCTAAGACCCAGTGTATGGGTTTACGTTAACACGCGTTAAGGTGAACGTACCTTTCGGTTTGCCGTCTGTAAGGTTAAAATCGATTCGTGAATCCGATAGTTAGAATCTTCTGGAAGAACGCTAACTCCCGCGTCAGTAGTGACGAGGTAGCGAACTCTCGTTGTCACATCTGTGACATATAATAATGGCTATGTTCGCTGGCTACGGTTGCCGTTAACGCGTGTCGGCTTAGATGTTTCCCGAATTGTCTTTCGTGTCAGTCGATTTTGAGTCTGGAAACTTGCAGTGTTTTCTGCAATTTCCAGAAGATTACCCGTATTGGTTATGATACCAGCACTAGTCGGGGTTATCAGTCTCTCGTGGTCTAAAGACAGATCGCTTAGGTGAAGTGCTTCTTCGAGGGGTATGTGATCATTTACGGTCGTTACGAAATTTAAGATAAGGTGTAAGTGTATGACACAATTCCGTAATGCCATTCTGTGTCCCTTGAGGTTTTTCTCTGACTGAAAACCCTTGATGTTAGAAGATTAGGTGATTTCTAAGATTCGGTCGACAGATGCAGCCAGCTCGTTTATGACGTTGCTTTGAAACGAGACCAACACAGCCTGCACTTGTTGAGGAAGTTTGGATATGAAAAGTTGTTTGAATAGATCATCATCGAAGGTTTGTAGTGGCATTGGACAACAGCCACACAATCCACAAAGCTGTGAACACGAGACTACTCAGAAAATAGATATTCAATATTTAACGCGGAGAAATACCTAACAATGGAGAAGGCGCGGAGGATGAATTGAATGGACTGGAGTTGATCGAGTGGCATGGCTCGGCCATGCAGGAGTGGTCTCTGCCGAATGTTACCTTATATCTTCTATTCATATTAAATATATTGTTCCTTTTCTAGCCTAACCTTGTTCTACATAATGTACTGGTAATTGATACGATACAGTGAGTTGGCGTAGTCGATGGTGTGACTTCCACGTAAGATCTTATAGATTAGGCAGTTATATCATGACAAATCTACAATTTCAGGATTAGGTCTATTATTAGAGCAGTACTAATATCATAGTAGACTATAATTCTACAGGTTCTTTAGCCAATAACCTCTCGTTATTTGCAACATGTCTGTCACAGAACCGCGTTGAAGGTCGTTGTTATTAAGGAGTTGGTCTAACCTTTGTCGATCGGTTATGTCTCCGTGTTTAAGGACAGATCGTTTCAGTGTTTCGTAGGATTTCGAAACATCACTAGTAAACATACTAGGTGTTACGTACCTGTTGAATTCGCGCGGTAGTGCCTTGGCTACTGTGAGGAATTGTCCACGTGTGTCGTTCACGCCGTACTCATAGAAGCCGGCCTCCTTGTAGCAGAACCAGGCTTCGATGTTGTCTGGCCAGAAAGGCATTAGTCGGAGCGAGGTGGGGACATAGTCTTCAAAATAAGTACCTTGGGTGTCGGATACGTCATCAAGTAACGTCAAGTACGAGAATGAACGAGTGAAAAAATATATCAAAAACACGGGAAAATATATCACAATATATAAAAATTAATATAAGGCAACCATATACAGAATCCCAAAAGCAACAGACTCACAGTTTGCAATTTAGTGTACCAGATCACGTTGAATTCACCAATGAAGATGCCACAGACATTCGGAGTTCGACAACGCCTTAACCAGTAACATTTTCTAATATGAATCGTACATACCAAGTGAGATACGAATGTATGTGAATTTCAGTTACTAACGGGCGTCTTCTGCCAAGACTGTCTCGAGAGTGGCAGCCGGCATTTAGGAGGATCGGAATGTCATCACTACCCGGGGTCTAGAATCTTAGACCTTCCCAGGTAATTTCACCACTTTTTGGGGCAAAATTTTCTCAAACTTCTAAGAGTTCCTGAACTTCCACTCCAAACTATCGTATTTTCCGTAACCATGGTTTGTGTTTTCTGGGACATTTAGAACATTGATGATTCTTCCGAGAAAGAACGACTCTCGGGATTCTCTGGTATGGTTCTGAGGGAATCGCGCTATTAATACTGTATATCAGGCAGTACCCTAACATCCTCTATTGATTTAAGCAAGTGACTATCCAGTTGAATACCTTCTATGTCATCTGTGCTAGTGTGTAGTTGTACTGGTTTCTAACAATACGATGCTTGAAGCTGAAAATACTTTCACATTCGACATTTTACACCATAGGAATGGTCAGATATGGTGAGCGCGGGAACACTTAGCTGGTATAGTATGGCTCGGCTATGCGGGCGTGGTCACCATATGTAACTTCTTCCCTTTTTCATGAAAAATATATCATTATATAGCCAGCCCAAAATCGTTCTTCAGATGTGCTAAACATCATATTGCCAACTATCACGGTAGGACGAGTTAGTATAGAATATGATGTCACTTCCATGTAAGGTCAGATAGATTAGATGGTAAGTTCACAGTTTTGATGAGGTCCATTATCCCAGTAGCATAGATAATTGCACTAATATCGAATAAGGCCATAATCCCACAAATGAATGTCATCAGTGTCTCGGATTATTTTGTGGACAACCGCGTATACAGCGCCTATTCTAGAAGACACAAGTTTTCTGAGAGTCTGCAGAATTATGGTCTACTTCGTTATTAGTACTTCTCTAGTAATAGACCTAATCCCAAGATTGTAGGCTTGTGATTATGTAACTGCCTAATCTATAAGATCTTACGTAGAAGTCACATTATTGTCTAGACTGAATCATCGTATTGCAACAATCATCAATATATGATGAAGAACACACTTAGGCTAGTGATAGAACATTATATTTAATATGAATAAGTGATGAGTTACATAAGAATGACGATGACTGTAAGGCCGAGCCATGCCGTCCAATTAATTGAATTTCGAGTGAATGTTTACGCGTTAACCATTGTTGACCTCTCAGTGACATATGTTGAATGTCTAATTTCCCAATTATCTCACGTTCAGCTTTGAGGATTGTGGTTAGGACCAATACCACCGTAAGTCTAACAGCTTCGGTGATATGGCGGTGTTGATTTTCAGCATATCGTCGATGGTGTTGGTGCATGTTCTACTGAAGATGCCTCAGTTATTTGGAGTTTGATGACACTTTAACCAGTAACGCCTTCTAATATGAATCGTACCTACCAAGTGAAATCAAAAGACAGGAGCGAGGAGGTTCGAAGATATATTTGATAGGTTATCAATATATCGAGGATCGACTGATCTAATCTGGCTAGTGATTGCAGGGGTTGTTGAACGTGGCGTTCCCACTCGTGATCTGGTGAGGATGCATAACCGAGCGCCTTCATCTAGGTAAGTCCATTAAAATTAATGTGGTCAACATCCAATATCTAAAACTTACAGAGCTATTTATTTTGGGGAGTTATTTACCGCTTCATTAATAATACTATTATTTTATGAGTCCGCTATCTTCAAATTACTGCACTTTTTTGCTTGTTTTTCCATTTCGGTATCGTTCTATTACAGGATTGTCGAATATGTTTACATAGACTTGTCAGTAAAATGATGTGTTGCTCAGCAAATTGTCAGTATTCATTTTTCGCGTGCCACATGCCCACTTGGGATTTGTGGTGGACCTCAGTAAAAGTGTACTCAAAAGATCACTATAGGAAAAGCTACTAAAATATTACACAATAAAATGACGTATTTTTATGAATAAAGCAAAATGATAACAAATCGAACACACAAAATATTGTATATTAAATAACAAAGTGAATAAAATTGATATAAAATAAAAGTTACTTGTGAACTCCTTTTGAGGCAACAACTACAAATGAGTTCACTTGGTTGACGAATGTTTCTTTACACGTGTTGGTATCAACTGTCTGATGAGAAAATTTAAATGCAGCAGTGTCATCCAATAGTAGCTCGGGCCTAAATCCCGTGTTGTACAGTGACTTAAAAAGATGTAATAACCCCGTTATAACCTTCAGTCGAAGGCTGTGTCCAGTAAAGTAAAAGAACAAATGATAGAGATAATGTATATTTTTATAAAGGCAGTAGTATGTGTTAGTGCAATCACAGTTGTGTTCGTTTTTACAATTGAAACAGAAAACAATAGATAGTGAATATAAATGTGACTATGCATAAGGTTCCAGAAATAAAGGAAAAATGTCTCCATTTTGTCTTCGCAAATATCATTGAATATACATGTCACTATAGACCTGACTTACTTTGTTGTAAGCAGTTGTTGTGAGATCTGTCCATGTCTGGTGAAATCAACCGTCGCATTTGTCACACTGCATACCACAAGGGCATATAGGTTGCATACGTATGATTTTAGTCACCACGGTGATGTATAGGTTATTACACAAATTCTAAAACTCTTATGACAATGAAATAATAGTATGCTTAAAACAGATGAATTGGAAACAAACGGGTAGTATAAAAGTTAGGATTTACTAAACCTAGCCTCATGGTGAGAATAAAGTTAAAAAGCCGAACGGTTATTTGAGACAAAATTATGCTTAGTTATTAACTTGAACAAAACTCGAAATGAAAAGTAGTCTACCAAACTTTAATCACAGGAAGTCACAAGTGGCACTTTTTTTGAGTTTAGACTCAGTGAAACTTTGAGAGATGCAAACCTTGTTCTTAAAGTTTGCATAAGGTTAAAAACAGAGAGAATATTATAAGAAGCAATATAATTTCACATCAATTTTAATATATTAAGTGATTTACTAATTAAAAGTTGTTTGAATTGTTAGTAAGACTTAATTTGAAAATGAACTTTTTAATTGGTAAATTTGAGTAAGGCGAAAGGGGATAGGTTTCATTCTTGTTCTCAGTTTCGACTCTGCACCTGCCAAGCAACTAGAATGAAGCGGAATTAAATATATGCACTGTCATAAACCATGATGTGAGGATTTTTTTCGTTTTTTGTCGTTTTTGCTACCTTACGTGAAAGAAGTTTTCTACGACAAAAGCAACACTCCATCATGCTGTAGACGTGTAAAGTGTTTTGTAGTCATTCGTGATAGAACATAAGTTACAACATAACAAAAGTCGTACCTTCTATTAATTCTACAATAGAAGGTACTCCAAATTATTTACAATTGAGTGACTAAATAAACGAAGACATAACCGTAATTACTGACCAATATGTTGACCTGGAGTTTGTCTCCAGACATCTGTTGTCTTGTCGGTTTCAGTCTTGGAGGATCATTTTCATTACAAAGCAATTTTTGTGTAATATGTTAGCTTTTGAAATAGCTGTGATCCCAATCGACCCGTTGTAAACTTGTTCACCTTACGTTAAAAGTAATTTACTTAGTGAAACTAGATAATTGTATAACAAAACTGTATTCTGTATAGGTTCTTACAAGTATATACTTTTCTACCTATAAACTTATGAACTCATTATCCTTCCTTTAAGTTAGCTACGCTCCAAGATTAGGTTTAGTGGGAGGTTTTGAATCCAGTCTTCGTCCGTGTTAACCGAAATGAGGAAATAAATGCGTCATTACTTTATAAAGTTTGGTGATGATAATGGTGAAACGCGTCAAAATGTCTTTGTTGCTTGGCTGGGACTAGTGAAACAGCCCCAATTATTTCTCTGTAGGGAAAATGTCTCGAAATTTACATCGACTGGTCCAGGTTTCGCCTGATTTTCCGACTACTGAGTGCATGCGAAATTATTCACTGTTAGCTTTTTACAAAGAGACAACTTTCAACACAATTTACAAGACTTAGAATTACGCTACATGTGTTAAAAGACCGTGTTTACTTAATAATCAGGTTTCATAAGAATATTCACAGCACGGAAGTAATAATAACATCTGCGATGTAAGCCGCGAGTTTGATTGTTGTAAATTGAAATCTGGGAATGATAGAAAAGCTACCAATAAGACCGTGGTTTATAAAATAAATTACCAGGAGATAATGACGTGTAGGCCTTTCTTACTTATGTCTACTTTGTTTCTATAAAACATCCAAGTGGAAAAGTAAACGCATGTACAATAAACTGTTAACTGAATTGCTTGTAAATTGTTACAAAACCTCATTACAAACCGTACATATCATTGGATGATTTCTAAAATAAATTCAGCCCATATAGTGGAGTTATATTTCAATATGTGCAATATTAGTTCGTTACCACAAAAGGTAAGTAATGTTAAAATGGTACCGTGCACCTAAAGAATGGAAACAAAAAGCTGTCGTAGAGAAATTTCACATGCATTATCTTTCCTTCTATGATAATGCATACCGAGCTTATCCTTCATGTCATGGAAATAACTTTGAGTCGTAATGCTAATACGCCTTGTGATTAAGAATGACAATAAAAGTATTACTTTGCGTGCTCGTTTAAAATTCTCACCTTTGAAGAGCTATTTTGATTAGTGCCCATTAGTGTGAAGTAGATGACTGCTTCAGGTTTTATAACAATTTCGAATCATCACTCACCACTTTTGTCATCATTGCTATGCGTAATTTTTGATAATTATTCAGTGAAAAAGTCGGCGTACAAATTTATCCTTCATATCTTGTTGGAGATGTCTGTACAACTCTCCTGATTCCCCTTCAGTTAACAGTGAATTGTACAGTTGGTAGTCTCATGCTAAACTTTTAGGGATAATTATCACGTACATTTCGTTTTTAGTGTGACAAGCTAGAGAAAGTTACCAGTCAAATAAGACACGGCTAAGGTTAGGTTCTGGAAAACTGCACGTACTTTTGCAAATCTCAAATACAAGCTACTTAATTCCAATGCTACTACTGTCAAGCGTTGACTTTGAAGTATAAGACCGGTTTAACATTGATTGGGTTTATTTATTTCTTGATAACAGGTTTACTTTGAAATAAGGAATATGGGAGCATTCTGAACTGCGAATATTGTATACGACTGCATCCCGCTTTACTAATCTCAAATTCTCAACATTCGTTAGAGAATGGACAGTTTACGGAAATTTATGTACCAACGAAAGGATTACTACTTTTCTACGAATATTTGAACGAACAGTTTGATAAGAATTGGGTACCGAGTCTATGAAAGACATTTATTAATTTGTCTACACAGTTATCGGAGATACATGTACAGCAGACATCACCGATAGATCCCAAACCAATGGTGCACGTGGTCTCCAGGATCCTAAGGAAACAAACGGCGTATGAGCCAATTGTTGGTCACTGGCTACTGTGGGACTGCATCTCCTTACGTTGCCCTACTGCCTTGTGGATTAGACCTTTAGGTCAAAGGTTTGGGGAGTGGCTCCTTAAGAATACCACCTACTTCGGTTTGGACATCCGGGCAGTATCACAGCCCACTCACAAATCAAGTGACTTGTGTGTTGCATATGTATTCGGTGCCCTTTTGTACCATATTTATGTGTTCAAATGAAATAAAAACGACTAAATAGGCTAAACGAATCCAGATGTTTCAGTTACCCCTCATTTGACAAGTCGGGAAGTCTTTGTACCAACTTAATATCTACTCTGGACATTAAAGGGCACAATTAAATTAGTCATGGACCAACCGCTTGGTTTCAGTAACCGAGATGAGATCCTACGTGGGCAAGATATACCATTCGAGACATTTCATCTTTAAGGCATTTTGAGGCTTCACGAATTAACCATAACACAATTTGTTTCATAACTGGTTTGCTGTTTTCAATTTCCAGTTAAGTATCGGGTAATTATGGGAAATAATGCAAAATTGTGACAGACTCGTTCTCTGTTTATTACTTTTTTTACAAACTCAAAGATTCAGTGGTCAATCCTAGTTTAATGGATCAGCATCGTAACCCTAGGCTATAATTAATACGTTAATCAATGTGGTCGTTAAACTGAATCACCATTCTTTAAAATTTCTGGAGGTAACTTATCAAGGTTTTTCTTTCTACTAATACCTAGTGATAAAATAAGGGTGATATCCAGCCCAAGAACTTTTAAGTGATCCAGTGGTTAATAATGCAATAAATTATGTAATATGTTGTCTTCTACTACTGAAATTACGTTACAACGAAGTTTATATGGACCATCGGACTTGGTTCGGTATTTAGATGGTGGTTGGAGGTAGTCAACAGGAAACCCTGGACTCGGGTTTCGTGCTACTTGGCACTCGTCAGCAAGGTGTACCTGTAATCTCGAGGGAACTGACGGATTCGATCTCGTGTCACCCAGCTTCACAGTCAGAGATGTTACCACTGAGCTATCCGAGCCGCAGCGGCTCAATATATAGTGCCCGCAGTCTCGAGTCACCTAGACTGGTGGCCACATTGCAACATGGTCGATAGCATTCGATCTGCACTAATAAGGACTAGACAAGCTTAACATTGATCACCACCCAGTGATCAATCAATTGGTTTGGCATTTTGGAGCAGTCGTAAACAGATTTCTTTCTAAACGGCTGGACTGTTTTCAGTTTTCAAAAAGTACTCAACCCAGATTACAGAACTATCTTACGTTAAAAAGATTTACTTCCAAAACCTCACTGATAGAATGTCTGAGAGATGACTTCGTAATTAATGGGGATATTGTTCATAATTTCTGCTAACCTAGTACACCTACAGATCAGCTATCTGTATGTCTTATATGTAACTTGGATTTTATTGCTCTGTGATCCAACGTATATCATATTTAACCTTTGATTATTAGGGAATGTAACTGCAGTATAGTTTCTGGTCCAAAGGTATCATAGCAGCTCTTAGATATCCGGCTATCGAACAACTTGAAACCATTCAATATCTCCGGATCATTTTGGTCAATTAGTGTTTAATCATTTGTCTCATTAAATCTCATAGCCCTTCTAAAGTCAATACCTTTATTTTTCAGGTGGTGGCACGGGATTAATAGGTCGATCCCTTGTTTCATCACTTCGATCAACTGGACATAATGTACAAGTTATCACACGCAGACCAAAGGAAAGAAATGATTTGAGCTGGGTAGACTCCTTTTTAAAATATAAAGGGCTTACTTATTAGGGTTCTATCAAGAAGAATGGTTTACCAAAAGATGTAGATGTTATTGTAAATTTGAGCGGTCGAAACGTTGGTGAAGTTAACCCACTATTTCTTATTAAACAGTCAGCTAACTTTACTTACACTTACATTTATTTTCATGAATCGCAGGAATTATGATAAATATATTGACGAAGTTTTTTCCAGTCGTTTAGATACAACCAAGCTTCTTGTTGATCTATCAAAATCTGCCCCAATTAAAGCATTCATAAATGCATCAGCGATTGGTGAGTTCAATAAGCCATAAACACAACTTCTGTTTTACGTATATAACAATGTTATATTTACAGGGATCATCAGCTTCTAGTAATTCTATTAAACTTTTTAAGAATAATTATAAGGAAGACTGTGTAACTATATGAACAAACGGTAAGTAGCATACAGCGTCTACCAGGATTCTTCAATTAACTCTGCTCTGGGCTGTCCTTTCCAGCTGTTCCCAACTGTTATTCTTTCTTCTGGTGTCTGCCTAAAATTCCCGACACAATCCTTTCTTCGGTTTGCCTTTTTTCCTTTCGCCCTCAGGATTCCAAGTTATGGTATGCTTTGTGTTACAGTTTTATTGAAGTAATAAATATACCAAGAGAAAATCAAGTGTACTGTATTATACATTCACCATTAACATTGTCTTAAAAAAGTGGTCAGTATTCAACATATCAAGGTATTCTCTCAGCGAATGAATAGCCCTCTACAAATTATTGTTTTGCATATTTTGTAATTATTACGCATGCAAACGGACATACATCTTTGCTCATGCCGTTATTGATTTTCACTATGAATTTAAAAATTGTGCCATATGACAATTTACAAATGTGCGATTATTCACACCCTAACTACTCACTTTTGTAAAAGTTGAATTAATTAGTTTGCTTACTTTGTAAACAGTAAGCTCCCGGATACGACATTTAATGATGGTCACATCATGTTTTGAGTGAACTGTAAGACAGTTATATTAGTTGGTAAGTTCCAAATCACATAATGGTTTTGTGTAATGATCGATGGTCGAGTTCAGTAAGTGACCAAGTTTAGAATAGGCTGTAAGTCCAGTTCTGTACATTTTTTGTGGCTCTCAATGTCAGCTAACATCAAATTATTGTCATAAAACAAAAGGAAAGAATCTTGATGAGCGATGACGTTGTTTGCATTATCCACAACTTTCCAACCAGCACCGTTCTATACCATTAAGAATACAAGGGAATCTGTACATAATACATATTTCGAGACAACGATCAAGACACTTTTGTAGAAGCTATGACGTAAGCGTTTAGATAAGAATTATATGTAGAATTTCTGCCTTCCTCTGAAAACTTCACAATTACTAATTAGTTTCGCACTTAACGTATGGAGCTGATTCATTGAGTTGGTTTTCAATTCAAGCGATTTTAGAGTTTCTTTCAGGTTATAACCACAACGGATTTTACATTCATAGGTGATAACATTGTACTTCATTGTGTGGTATTGATATTGGCTCCTTAAAATAACTTAATATAATTTTAATGTCTGTGGTGGTTCTGAACTGTTTCTAAAATGACCAACAAGTGAAATTACCTTTCAAAGCATCACTGAAGAGTGTTCTAACTGGCGTTAAGTGTCTATCACATTGGTTCATAGACATCAATTTTACTATCAATACGTCGTCTTCCACATACCCGATATCAATGTTCTTTGTTAAAAACAAATGTTGGTCGATACCAGGTTTCATTGATGTTTTTTAAATAAACCGAAGATCTAAAATTACCTTTATTTCCTCAATAGATATATCCTACCTAATTTGAAAAGTGTTAGACATTTCATTCTCCATTTTCTATTTGTTCGAATTAGTTATGCGTTAGCCTTTTTGTAGTTATAATTCTTACTGAACTTCCTTCAAATAAATAGTAAAACATTCACAAATAGAATAGTAATACTGACACTTTTGGAGAACTAATCACTGTTCATATATGAGCATCCTGTGAATTTTTTCGATCTAACCATCCTGATAGTTTATGTACGCACAATATTCCACTGTGGTACATTTGTGTTTATTTCTGTTGTATTTTTGGTAGGTTTCTACCCTCCTGATCCGCAAATCACATATGATGAATCTGCTCCATTCAGAGACTGTGGCTTTATTACAAATCTTGTTAAACGATGGGAAGATGCGGCTCAAATACCCTCTAGACCTGATATTCGTCAAATTCAACTGCGAATAGGTGAGTTTTGAAGTTTCCTAGTACTTCTTGCCTAATCTGACGAATGTTGAATGCTAGTCCAGAAGTTTTTATGAAGGCTAGGGGTAGTCAAACTAAAATGTGGCATCAGTTCATGAAGTCATTGACTGTTGGTCTTAACCATTTCGGTAAACCTAATCTACTTGGTTGGAGCCCGCGTGATCACTGTGATCAGTACTTGGAAACTAAGTGATATAGTTTTTACAATCAATCGCACTGGCGTAGCTGCATTCACGCTTTATGTTCTTTTGATTTTCAGTATCCCTTTATTACATACCTCTCCACCCTTTTAAATGTTTTTAAATCATACTCCCTAAGACTTAGTCTTTCTTTTTACCTTTGCCGATTGACTATTCGGATTTCTTTTGTTATTTTAGTCCTGTTCTGCTAATAAAATAGTGACAGCATATGTATGCCAGGTTCTTTTCTGATGTTTGTCGATCCATCAATTTTTACACTTTTAAATAAAAACAAATTCCTTAGCCGACTCAATCTTTCCTCTACTTTACAGTCGAGTAAGCGTAGTTTGTTTTCTTACTAAGCGTTTTACTGCTCATAGGGAGTTAGTTTTCAGTATATGACCAACTCTGGGAGACTTGGTCAGTTTAGCATTCGTTTACATAAGTTGTCAGGTTCCATAACTACCTATTTCATATTTTCTTTGCTACCTCGTAGGGACATTGTTTTTTCTAACCTGCTTCCGTGAGGTTATTACTTAACAACACTTTTTAAACGGCAAACATCGTTGTCTTTCAGAGGAGTTCACCAAGTACACTAACAAATGTCTTGCTCCACTTTATAAATTTGTAAATGATTGACCGCCATGGTTTATCACTGTAGATTACTCCAAGTTACACATTCTCTGTTCACTGAGTAAGCGGTTACTTCATGGAATTCATCAAATGGTAGCATTTAAAATCATTTCGGTGTTAACACTGATGTACCGCAATTTAGGTAAACGTTAATGGTCTGAGGGGTAGTTACCCAATTGTTTATTAGGTTTATCTGAAAACAAGGTCGTTTTCTTATCATTTAGCTCATGGCCGATATTTCTGATTACCATTATTTTTTTACTATCGTCATGTGATCCATCATCAGGAAATGAAATTAACACTAATGATTTACGCTCATATCTGTTTTTATTGGTGTTGTTAAATATAGGCTAAATTTGTCATCGAAAAAGCCAATTATACTAAGTATGTAGTTTGGGCAAGTCAACGGTTCTAAATATTCAAGTTCCATCTCCACCATCTACTGGCTGCTTCACACTACTTGATCAGGTAATTAGTGGTTCGAGGAGCTAGGTGATATAACTGAGAGTGTGTCACATTGGTGTGGATATACTCACTCCCTATTTTCTCCTAGCTCTTAAGTTTCAATATTATCCCTTACTTTTTATCCCTGAAATCCATTCTTTTCTTTCGAGATATTTCCTAATGTTTTGTCCATCTCATTATCATTAATATTACTACTATCTCGACGCCTTGGCCATTCACCTTGTTAACTTTATTACACCTTGCTATATTATAGCACCTTAAGCCGACACATTTGTCTCAGACTCTGTGTTGATTGTGACTAGCTAACTAATTTATAGAAGACTGGCTTTTCACAATTGGATGATTTGGGAAATCTAGACCGCTAGTTTAGATGTCATTCGAAAATTAGTAAAACTGAATGTTACTAGATTATTTATTTCAAATTACAAGTAGGTTCAAATGTTATGTTACGACTAGTTGCTGACAAAAAAATAATGACTAAGGATAGCATTGAAGCAAAAATAGTGCATGCAGGACTTATTTCGCCTGCATATATCTTGGTTACGATTTGCATAACTGTCGAGTCAGAATTTGGGTGGTAACTATGGTCGAAACAAACTGTATTTTATCATTGATGCTTTATGTGTTTCTAAAACGTAAATTCATACATTTAGTAAATATCGTCTGTGAAAAAACGAGGGTAATGCACACGGCAATGGGAAGTCCAAAAAATTTTACTTTTTCGAAATAGCCATACTTATGAGGAGAGTACAATTTTGATGATTGATTGTAAAGTAGATGCGGACCACTCTCAGATAAAACTGATACAAAGTGGCTTGATGTTTACAGTAAGATTTGGTTGATTCCTCTAGTTATGTGAATAACTAACAACACATGAAGGTAAATAACTGGAACAAGAATGCTTCTTAAAATTAGGTTTGGTTTTAACTATTTTAACGGACCCACTAAACGATACCGGTATGATTGTCTTGGAAAGTGTCCAACTCTCTAGATTCTTTTTTTTTTTGAATTTCTTCATTAGTAATTTTACTGACCACCATTCTTATTCATTACATGAAGTATTTTCCTAAGTTTTCATTTCTTTCCTTCGCTTTAGGTGTAGTTCTTAGCCAAGACTCGAGTTTCATTCGTACTTTTCATCGCATTTATCTCCTGGGGTTTTGTAATCCGATTGGTACTGGTCGTCAATGGATATCTTGGATTCATTTAGATGATATGGTTAGAATAATTGAATATGTTGCTGACCCTAAACGAGTTTTTTCAAGCGGACCTGTCAATTGTACATCACCTAAATCTGTTCAACAGGTTACTTTTGCTAAAGCCATGTCTGAGTCACTTGGTGCTCCGAGTAATATCCTTTCCAATGTTCCAGTCCCATCGTTTCTTTTTACTTATCTCCTTGGTCGTGATCGTGCTTCCTTAGCTGTAGACGGTCAGCGTGTGATTCCTAAGAAGCTCCTCAATGCAGGGTTCGAGTTCACTTACCCTGATTTAGCAGATGCTTTGGAGAATATTTTCGGTCGTCGACCCCGTTCATAAAAGTCACATTTTAACTTTTTATTGAACGAAGTTATCTCTTAATAAAATATAACTAACCATGTTTTTCTCTTGTTATCTGTCCAACCATGATAGTTAAATCTATTTGCACCTAAGTACCTTTCTACTGTCTCACATATGTATTATTTTTTCCAACACTAAAATTATGACTCTTCCTACATGGAGACTTTGTGTTATGTAGCTGTTTCACCACTCACCAGTAAATTCGAAATATTTCAATTTTTAGGAGCTAGTCTTTGCTACTTTGTGTATAACTAAGCAATACAATTCTTTATATTCTGCAAGTTTTTTTTGCTCTGCTATGATTTGTAATGATCGTCGAACGTGTGTGTCGGTCGATAACACTAATAAAATCCATCTTAGGAAGTGTTTTTCTATACATTGTCAACAAGAAATCATGTGATTGCTGAATACGACAACGGTCATATTGTGTATCACGATATTTACTGTCTAAAAGTAGCCACAAGAATGTCAGTTACCGTCTCAATAACCATGTATAGTGGAGAACAGGTTGATGTTCGGAATTATTACATTTTTAATTGTTATACGAAACAAATTTATCTAGTTTCATATTAGCTGAAAATTAAATTAGGATTTGAAGTCAAGAATATTGTGATTTAGAAATGCATGCACTGTGCACCTAGTATTTTGAAATACTTCCATTTCAGAGCATAAGTCAATTAAGATTTTAGGCATAGTGATTCGATACCCCTACGATAGTATTATAAGTGGAAGCTTATAAATATATGAGTTGGTATGTAATCCATAGTTGGTCGTCGAACGTCCAATTCTTGATTTTACTGGTCGCCAACAAGGCGGATTTACGGTCGGAATCTCGTCGTAAGTGTTAAAGTAGCTGTATTGACCTCAGCATTGATTTTACTCATACTTGGTGATTTCTTAACAATTATCATGTATAGGGGAAATACACAGTATTACTTCGAAATCCCAAGCTTAGAATTCTAACCTGAATTCATGCAAAGAATGTTATCTTGAATAAGCATCATACTAAAATATGTCAATGTTGTACTGAACAGATTATCTCACTGGAAATAAAACAAATATTACATTGAGTGACCATTATATTGAATTAAAAGCGGAAGCAGTGTTGAAAAGAAATCAATGAGTTAGAAATGTGATTTTGTCACTTAATCCCGTCATCATCGTCGAGGTATACGCCATTTTATCTTTCAAACCAATGAAATTCTTCCGGTCTGTAATCGTGTATAAAATTCCGGTGGCCTATAGTACATCATATCTCAGTCAAGTCTAAGTTACTGGAAAAATATTTGTTAGTGTGGTGATTAATATGTAGAATGAAGTCGCTGTAATTTAAAAAGTCAAAGATACTAATACGTAGTAATCGTCATGTCGTACTTTTATCGATCCCCTAAGAGGAAGTTTGCAAATACTTTTTTTACACAAAATTTGATCGTAATGAACATAGTAAACCAGATTAGTAATATGCATATATTCTTTTTGCTGAGGATTTTGCTATCAGCTAGAAGAGAACTTTGGGGAGTAATTACAAGGCGAGGAAAAACGCTTAGATAATTATACTTTAGTTTAAGTAGACGTCAGTTTCACGTCACTTAAGTAATGGAAATGATTTGACAAATGCAGTATTAGGAATTTTATGTTGAGGCTGGTCAAGAAAATGAAAATTAGACATATTGATAAGTATTTTTTGTATGTTTGTCATTTCTACCTTCCATAAGCTAGAAATTCCAACATTTCGCTCCACCGCTATTCTGCAGTATTGATGTAAAACAGTTTTATGCATATGTAGCGGTAAATAAGTCCCTAAAATAAATAGTTCTGTTAGTCTTAAGCATTGACGCTGACCTATTTAGTTTTACTGGACACACTAGCTAAAATCATTCAGACACGCATTCGCACCAGATCACGAGTGGGTGCTGCACATCCTTTACAACTGTCAGCCAGCTTAGATCAAACGCTTCGATGGCCTTCAAAATATATCTTTCGACCACTTTGTTTCTGACTTCTGATCAGAACGGGTTGGTATCCTTCAATTGTAGACGTGTCGAACTCCGAATACCTGTGGCATTGTGGCGGTAAATGAATCCCCAAAATAAATAGCTCTGTAAGTTTTAGATATTGGATGTTGACCACATTAATTTTAATGGACTTACCTAGATGAAGGCGCTCGGTTATGCATCCTCACCAGATCACGAGTGGGAACGCCACGTTCAACAACCCCTGCAATCACTAGCCAGATTAGATCAGTCGATCCTCGATATATTGATAACCTATCAAATATATCTTCGAACCTCCTCGCTCCTGTCTTTTGATTTCACTTGGTAGGTACGATTCATATTAGAAGGCGTTACTGGTTAAAGTGTCATCAAACTCCAAATAACTGAGGCATCTTCAGTAGAACATGCACCAACACCATCGACGATATGCTGAAAATCAACACCGCCATATCACCGAAGCTGTTAGACTTACGGTGGTATTGGTCCTAACCACAATCCTCAAAGCTGAACGTGAGATAATTGGGAAATTAGACATTCAACATATGTCACTGAGAGGTCAACAATGGTTAACGCGTAAACATTCACTCGAAATTCAATTAATTGGACGGCATGGCTCGGCCTTACAGTCATCGTCATTCTTATGTAACTCATCACTTATTCATATTAAATATAATGTTCTATCACTAGCCTAAGTGTGTTCTTCATCATATATTGATGATTGTTGCAATACGATGATTCAGTCTAGACAATAATGTGACTTCTACGTAAGATCTTATAGATTAGGCAGTTACATAATCACAAGCCTACAATCTTGGGATTAGGTCTATTACTAGAGAAGTACTAATAACGAAGTAGACCATAATTCTGCAGACTCTCAGAAAACTTGTGTCTTCTAGAATAGGCGCTGTATACGCGGTTGTCCACAAAATAATCCGAGACACTGATGACATTCATTTGTGGGATTATGGCCTTATTCGATATTAGTGCAATTATCTATGCTACTGGGATAATGGACCTCATCAAAACTGTGAACTTACCATCTAATCTATCTGACCTTACATGGAAGTGACATCATATTCTATACTAACTCGTCCTACCGTGATAGTTGGCAATATGATGTTTAGCACATCTGAAGAACGATTTTGGGCTGGCTATATAATGATATATTTTTCATGAAAAAGGGAAGAAGTTACATATGGTGACCACGCCCGCATAGCCGAGCCATACTATACCAGCTAAGTGTTCCCGCGCTCACCATATCTGACCATTCCTATGGTGTAAAATGTCGAATGTGAAAGTATTTTCAGCTTCAAGCATCGTATTGTTAGAAACCAGTACAACTACACACTAGCACAGATGACATAGAAGGTATTCAACTGGATAGTCACTTGCTTAAATCAATAGAGGATGTTAGGGTACTGCCTGATATACAGTATTAATAGCGCGATTCCCTCAGAACCATACCAGAGAATCCCGAGAGTCGTTCTTTCTCGGAAGAATCATCAATGTTCTAAATGTCCCAGAAAACACAAACCATGGTTACGGAAAATACGATAGTTTGGAGTGGAAGTTCAGGAACTCTTAGAAGTTTGAGAAAATTTTGCCCCAAAAAGTGGTGAAATTACCTGGGAAGGTCTAAGATTCTAGACCCCGGGTAGTGATGACATTCCGATCCTCCTAAATGCCGGCTGCCACTCTCGAGACAGTCTTGGCAGAAGACGCCCGTTAGTAACTGAAATTCACATACATCCGGGTGGACCATATGATGCAAGAATCTGCACAAAAGCGAATTTGAACTGACTGTTTCATTCGTGGATTGTAAAGAACAAGGAGAAAACAAAGGCACTACTAACTCGGAAAACGTTTCGTATGAACATTCACATATGTGATAAACAAGACGAATAAGCTCATGCGTTCTAAGTTGAAATGTGAAACTGCCTATATATGAACGCTAGGAGTTTGCCGAACAAAACGGGTGAGTTGTGTGGATGCCAATAATACTCCTTTGATAAGGATATATGAAACGTCGGTTTCTTGACAAACTGCGTACCAGAAGCTGGCAGTACTCAGCACGTCTTTGTTTCACAACTACAGAATACACAGGGATTGAATAGCCCTGTACCTATGAGTTTGCTTGACAGCACGTCTGTTGTAAATGCAAAAGTTAATCGGTCTTGATGGATCTGTATCACGCCCATTAAGATTGTCCAAGACGTCAGGGGTCCTTGTTAGAAAAATCTACAGGAAACCTATTGCTAACGCCTAGTACGACGGCCATACACTTAAGAGATTGTCGCGTTCGTATGGTCTGGGATCCGCTCATATCCAGACCCTAGATAACCTTTTTCTTCCTAGGGTCATTTTTTCTACACTCGAGGCGTTAACTCTTTTGAAATTCGATTCTTCAACATCGTTAAAAATTTGGGACCATACGAAGATGTGAAGTCAGCAACTCGGTGGAAAAACGGGCAGACGCCGTCAGGTTTAGATTACATATTTGCAGACGGGGAATTACTAATTGATAACCTTTCGGTTCTTACTCCTTTGTATAGAAGAGACCATGTCATCATAGCCCTTTATTTTATCGGCAGTACTGAGCTAAAAACACGCTAACGACAACGAGCGTTGCAATTTAAACAGCAACCTGGGGGGCCATCCTCAACTTAACGTAAACCGTCATTTATACATTCCACTTCATAAGATCGTACGTTCTGAAAACTAGTATATATCGTAAACAGTCTTCAAGAATTGTAGGCAACGTATAGCCCTAAAGGGTCGCAGTCTCCGATTGATAAGACACAGAATCACTAGTAAGAGAAATACAAACGAATTAGTGATGACAGCTCATATAGACATTTCGAGCAATCAGAGAACTAATACACGGAGGCGATAAGAGAAGATAAGCTCCATTATCGGATCAAGCTAATCGACAAAGTTGTCTGCAATTCTAAAAGCTAATTCCATCATGCAGGGGAATGTTGGTGTTATATATCTTGACTTCTCAAAAGCGTTTGTTAGGGTCGATCATGTATCTATCTTCACTATGCTCAGGCGATTAGTTATGAAGTCAATTTTAATTGATCGGCTTGTTCCATATTTAAATAATTGACCATTTAAGGTCAAGGTAAACAAAACCTTTTTCCAGGCTACAGAATGTCATAGTGAGGTCCCTCAAGATTCATTATTAGGACCTATTTTATATAAATGACCTCCCTCAACAAGTTTGGTCTGATTTATCAACTTTTGCTGACGATGTGAAAATTCGGAGAGAAGTTTGCAACAAAGATGATAAGCTGAAACTTTAGGAGGATCTGATTTGGAATTCGAAGTTGGGCAGATGATAAAGTGCTTGCATTTAACACTTCAAAGTGTCCATTTGAGACATGTTTCAGATTACCCATACAAATTACGTAGCTTTCCTACGAGAGTGCCACGAGTTGAAAAATATCTAAGAGTGTTGGTACTCTATCATCTGAAGTCTTACGCTGAGATAAAAGAATCCTTCGAGAAAACCTTTTACTGGTGATGTTGAAG